TTGTTTATCATTGAGATAAAACAAATCATTTCGCTTGAGAAAAAAAAACAAAAAATGATGGCATACAATAAGTAAATAAGGGAAGCATATAAACAAATAAACAAATAAATAAATGAGTAAATAAAGGAAGGATATAACTAAATAAACAAATAAATAAATGAGCAAATAAGGAAAGCATATAAATAAATAAACAAATAAATAAATGAGTAAATAAGGGAAGCATATAAACAAATAAATAAATGAGTAAATAAGGGAAGCATATAAACAAATAAATAAATGAGTAAATAAGTAAATAAGTAAATATGAAAGAGGATTTTTCATCCATTTTTTAAAAAATTTTAAAATGACACAATTCATTGCCAGGTATATTATCAGCGAAGTAATAAAAGAAATGCTTCTAATAAGCGTGAAAGAGAAAACTGAAAGATTTATGAGAATCATGATGGCATAGAGGAAATTAAAAATCGTCAAAAAGATAAATTTAGTCGTTCCGGAAGAGAAATTTCCGGAATCCTTTTAATCACACAAAAATACCACTATAAGTCAACCTGAATTCCAATAATGGAAATCATTGAATATTTTAAAAGATGACCAGTATCTTTTAAAAATATCCATAGGTTTTAATTATTGAATTAAAAAAAAATGCGACAAATTTTTGTCATAATTCAATTAACAAAATTTATGAAAAAACAAAAAAAAACTACAGATATTAAGGTGAAATTTTAAATTTATTCGACTAAGTTATAGGCTTTGATATATATTTCAACGATTAAGCCTATACTTAAGCCTTTTACTTCTGGGCTATATTGCAAACTAAATAAGCCTAGCATATATTATTACAAATGATGGAAAAAGTAAACTTTGTGAAATTACACTTTGCTGTTGCATTGATCGTTCCATTTATTTGCTTCACTGATAATTTTAATCTAACAATCGTTAACAATTTCTCAATTTCATTCAAATTTGTAAACAAATTATGCGAAAATTTCTGAGCAATAAAAATTTGCAAAAAGTAAATGGAAAGCAAGAAGATATAAGCGCCTGAAAGACATAAGCGCCTGAAATCACCGCCTGAAAGATGAATTTCAGGTATAAAATAAAAATAATTTGAACAAGAACAAAAACTACCATAACAACACAATCGATGTAGATGAAAAAAAAAAGCTGTAAAAAAAAGGAAGCAAAATTATAATTATCTTAATGATCATTTAAAAAACAAAAAAAAGTTTAATCAAAAAAAGAAATCGTTCAAATTGTTTTTTCAAATCAAAAAAACAAAAACATTATAAATTGTAATTTGCAAAATTAATTTATTACCAACAGTTTATAATAGAAGATTTAAAAAAATGAGACAATTCAAAAAATAGTTAATATTGAAAATTTAATTGTATTTATTAAATTCATTCATTCTCAAGAGTGATAATGATAAGAAGAAGGGAAGATAATTTTTTCAAAAAAAAAAAAAAAAATTATTGCAAACACTCATTAGCAGTAATAAATTTAAATTTTACAGTTTAAAAAGAAGTAAAGTTAATTAATATTTTGTAAAAGTTTTAAAAAAATAACATTGTTGTAAAATAAAAAAAAAAGAAAACAATATGCATATTTAGTGCGAATAATTTAGCATTTCAAAAATGTAAATTTTAATATTTTCTGCTTTACTTTTTCATTTTATATATTTTCTCTTGCATTTTTTTTTTTGCTTTTTAAATAAGCTAATTGTATGATAAGAATTGGATGAGAAAATATCTGAAATATAAGATAAAGTTTAATAATTTGAAAATGAAATGAAAGATGGCTAAAACCAAATTTTTTTCTTTTCTTTTTTCCACTGGAAAAAACGATCAAAGGTTTATTTCAAAATATTTTATTATTTTAAAATAAACTAAGTTCAATAAATGATAATATAGCAAAGGAATTTTTAAACTTGAAAAATGCAAATATTGTAAAAATATGAATGTAACGCAAAAAAAAAAGAAATTTCGGAAAAAATCAAAAAAAAAAATTTTTTGTTTAACTTTCTTTTTTTTTCAATTTGAATATTTTATTGCAAAAAATTTCAAAAAAAAAAAATGATAAAAGCAAAGAAAAAATTGTTCAAGTTTTGGCAAAAATAAAAATAAATATTCGGAATAAATCAAAATAAAAAAAAAATTTTTTTTTCCAAAAGAAAGAAATTTCCTTCCTTTTTTTTTCTTTCTTTTTTTTTTTACTCTTTCAGAAGAAAACTTCAAAATCGAAATAAATGTATTTTGTCAATGGAAATATATCATAAATTTGCATTGCATGCAGCGTAATGCATGCATTAAAGTAACTAAGCTATGAAATGGAAATGGATGATTTAAATGATTGTGACATTTATCAAATGGTTTTAAGTATGAAATGATACTTTGCATAAGTTATTACTTTTTAACTATACAACTTTTTCCGACATTTTTGCTTAATTGCGTATTGATTTGTATTTTTGCAAATTCCTAAATTAATTTTTTTTTTTTTTTGTTGAAAATATTTCAGAATAATAAGTTTGAATTTTACAACAATGATAAAATTATCATTATCAATGGGAGATAATTTTTATATTTTTGATGCAATGCGGTGAAATTTTTAATATTTAGTTGAAAAGATTTCAGTACAAAAGTTCTTAAAGTATCTTTTCTTAGCTACCTGTTTTTTTTGTTTATCTTTTAAAAGTTAATTTTATTAAACTT